AACGCCGACCGCGCCGCGGTCATTCACACAGAGTCTGTAGGGCAGAGCGTCTCAGCCACACCAAACACCAGGATCACCCAACCACCAGCTGAGAAAAGCTGAACATCTCAGCCAATAAACAGACACTCAGAGTCCTGAACGTACTCAAGTTCCACATCTGAAGAACCCTTTTTGACGTGGGAATGGGAATTTGGCGGCTAAACAAAAATGCAACAAATGGCTGTCAACACGGGTTGCTTTAACACAATGGTTCTCTTTAGAACATACTATCTGATGTCTTTATAGAACTATAAAGAACCCTTTTCAAAACAGTACTAGATAGAACCATCTACAGCACACTCTCCATCAATCTGAAGAACCATTTCACCTTGCAAAGAACCCTTTAATCATGCAAAGGGTTATTTGAGCATTCGTGGTTCTTTAAACAACCAGTTTCTTTACTCTTAAAGAACCATCTTCTTAAAAGGGTAGTGTCAACATCTATTGCCGCATCAGACGCGTGTCATTAGAACCTTCTATTTGAAGTCTATATAGAAATATTTCATTCTTAAACGGTTCTTTGCATGGTGAAAAGTTCTTCAGATGGATGCAGAATGTACTGTATGGTTCTATATTGCACCAAAAAACAGTTCTTCTGTTGTTACAACTTGAGAGGATGAAAAGAGCAGAACCCTTTTTGTTTTACACAGTGGTTTCACGGCACTTTCACGTAAATACACACTTAAAATGGACGGTTCTTTAAGGTATCTTCGGCAAATTAAATAGTTCTATATAGAACCATGAACACTCAAAGAACCCTATGCATGATTAAAGGGTTCTTCGCATTGTGAAAGCGTTCTTCAGACTGATAGGGAGTGTGTTTTATATGGTTCTATATCGAACCTGCTTGGAAAGGGTTCTATACAGCACCAAAAAGGGTTCTTCTATTATTAAAGACTTGACATCGTAACAATAGAAGAACTCTTTTTGATGCTCTACAGAACTCTTTTCAAAAAGGTTCCATATAGAACCATCTATAGCTCGTTCTTCATCACTTTAAAGAACGATTTAATTATGCAAAAGGTTCTTTGAGTGTTCCTGGTTCTAAACAGAACCATTTTCTTAACTAAAGAACCCTTCAAGAACCGTTCATTTTAAGAATGTATACTTGGAAGTAGATGCCCTTCGTAAAATGCTGCTTGAGTGAAAGTAAACGTCTCTGTTTATACTTCATATTTAAAATTTCATCGTTTGGGATCAAAGTTATGTCATTTGCACCTTGAGATAAACTCACTTATCATCTTAGAACCAGAATAGAACTTAGAACTAAGAATAAATTTAATGTAAATGTGTTATAAACTAATACAGCACTACATTCTAGCTATGTTACCTTAAATGCTATTTAGTAAATGTGCAGCGTGTAATATAGAATAATCAAGACTGAGACACGTGCCAACCAGCCCCAATCACACCAGTACACAACTACGGATTCACCTTAGCCAGCTAGCATTACTCATCATAGGCTTTCACAGTCATACTAAACACTACAACAGTGTCCACTCACTGTCCACTCTAGACCCTACTACCTTGTCGGTCCACCTTGTAGATGTAAAGTCAGAGACGATAGCTCATCTGCTGCTGCACAGTTTGTGTTGGTCATCCTCTAGTCCTTCATCAGTGGTCAGAGGACGCTGTTGGCTGGATGTTTTTGGTTGGTGGACTATTCTCAGTCCAGCAGTGACACTGAGGTGTTTAAAAACTCCAGCAGCACTGCTGTGTCTGATCCACTCAGACCAGCACAACACACACTAACACACCACCACCACGTCAGTGTTAGTGCAGTGCTGAGAATGACCCACCACCCAAATAATACTCTGTGAGGGTCCATTGGGGTCCTGACCACTGAAGAACAGGGTGACAAAGTATGCAGAGAAACAGATGGACTACAGTCTGTAACTGTAGAACTACAGAGTGAAACTATACGGTCAGTGCAGGTGATTAAATGGACAGTGAGTGTAGAAATATGTGCTAATTCAACACTAACAATACACTCGTGTGTCAAGGGTACATGTAGCACTATAGCAGCAAATTCAACACAATGAAAGTGAATGAAACGTTAATATTGCTGTATGGTGACTCATAAGGTGCTAATCATCTGTGGAAACATGAATGAACTAAAAATAAATGGTTCTAAGCAGCACTAAAAAGGGTTCCTCTAACATTAGAAGCTTGACATTGTAAAACTAGGAGAACCCTATATAGATCCATTCTCCTTCAGTCTAAAAAACCATTTCATGCAATGCAAAGAACCATTTAGGCATAAAACAGTTCTATAAAGATTTCATGGTTCTAAATAGAACCACTGGCTTTACTAAAGAACCCTTGGTGAACCATTTTTTAAGAGCGTACAACCAATTTCAGTACCTGCATCGGCTAACGTGTGCATTAAAAATACCAGATTTCGGCAAAAGCCCACAATTCCCGTATCGGTGCATCCCTCCTGGAAACTGGACTCAGGTTCCACATTTGAAGAACCCTTTTTGGCGTGGAATGGGAATCTGACTACTAAACAAAAGCAACAAATGGCCGTCAACACACGATCAAATAAAACAGCACAACTACGCTCTTAAAAAAGATGGTTCTTCATGGGTTCTTCAGTAAAGGCAGTGGTTCTATTTGGAACCTTCTATTTTAGGTCTATATAGAGCCATTTCATGCTTACATGGTTCTTCGCAGGGTGAAATGGTTCCTCAGACTGATGGAGAATGTGTTGTATATGTTTCCATATAGAACCTTTTTGAACAAAGTTCCATATGGCACCAAAAAGGGTTCTTCTATTGTTAAAAGCTTGACGTCATAGCAACAGCAGAACCCTTTTTGCTGCCATGTAAGAACCATTCTTCATCAATCTAAAAACAATTTCACCATGCAGAAGACTTATCATCAAACAGCCTAAGGCTTAGAACTGAGAACAACTTGCTACAAATTTTAAAGAACCTTAAAGAACCGTTCATTTTAAGGATGTATACTTAGAAGTAGATGCCCTTTGTAAAATGCTACTCAAGTGAAAGCAGAATTTCTCTGTTTATACTTCATATTTTAAGTTGTTGGGGATCAAAGTTCTCATTTGCGCCTTAAGATAAGCTCACTTATCATCTTAGAACCAGAATAGAACTTAGAACTAAGAATAACTTGCTACAAATTGAATGTAAATGTGTTATAAACTCTGATACAGCACAACGTTCTACCTATGTTACCTTAAAAGCTGTTACACGGTTAAGAAAACAAATACTAAAAGCACCAATGACAGCCTGCATTACCACAACAACGTCCAGAGTCCAAACCAGGCCCGTCTCCTGCCCCTGCTGACCGGCCCCACATCAAATATTTAACGCCACATTTTGGGAAAGCATGACGAGCCAGAAAATCATTTTTTTGCACACGACGGCGTTTTATGTCGGGGATGACGTCACGTCGTGTCATGCTGTACGATTCAGTAGAAGAGCATCACACGTTTATTGGCTGATTGACTCAAACTCTCCACGTTCGTCTTCAAACCACGACGGACTCTTCTTGCTACACTCTTAACAAAGATGGTTCCTCAAGGGTTCTTTAGCACAGAAAACGGTTCTATACAGAGTCATGAACACTCAAAGAACCCTTTGCGTGATTAAATTCAAAATTCAGATTGACAGAGAATGTGCTGTAGATGGTTCCACATGGAACCTTTTTGAAAAGCACCAGAAGGGTTCTGCTGTTGTGACGATGTCAAGCTTGCAACAAATGAAGAACTATTTTTGGTGCTATATAGAACCCTTTTCAAACAGCCATGCAGAGAACCATTTTAGCTTGCAAATGGTTCTATATAGAACTCATGTTTCTAAATAGAACCATTGCTTTTACTAAAAAACTAAAAAAAGAACCATCTTTAGGAACGAGTATCGGCTGATTCGTGCGTGGAAAATATCAGAATATCTATATAGCACCAAAAAGGGTTCTATTATTATGATGCTATATAGAACCAAGGGATGCAGCGATACAGGAACTGTGTTGATCCCGATATCTGATGTTTTTCATGCACAAATCAGCCAGTGCTACATAAAAAAGATGGGGTTCTTTAGTAAAGTTCCAAACAGAACCATCTGCATGCTTGAATCAGTCTCTGCATGGTGAAATGGTTCTTCAGATTGATGGAGAACGTGTTGTATATGGTTCTATATAACATCATAACAACAGAACCCTTTTTTGATGCACCAATACGGGAATTGTGGGCTAGAACCCTTTTCGAAAAGGTCCTATATAGAACCATCTACAGCACATTCTCCATCAAACTGAAGAACATTTTCACCATGCGAAGAACCCTTTAATCATGGAAAGCGTTCTCTGACTGTTCATGGTTCTATACAGAACCGTTTTCTTTACTAAAGAACCCCTGAAGGAGCGTCTTTGTGGTGTGAACATCTGGGGCCGCATCAGACGCGTGCGCTATCATCATTACTATTACCGCTGTCTTGTTGTCGCAGCATCTCACGCATGAGATGCGTGTGCTATTGTGCTACCGTCATTACTATTATCGCTGCGTTGCAGCATCACACGCACGGGACGCGTGTGCGATCATTACTATTACCCCTGTGTGGCTGTCGCAGCCTCTCTCGCGACCTTAATCGAGCTTTTGTCCTTCCCAAGCCTGTACCGGACACGAGTAAAACAAACAAAACAAAACAAAAAAGCCTGGAAAAACTCCTTCACGCTTAATCCAGCCCGAGATCTACTTCGTATTCTGCTTTCACGCGCATCCAGCACGAGCTTTCGCCAAGTACTGCAGTAGTAAAGCCACACAATCGCAACTGAAGTTGGCTTCCCATTCGAATTCCCCGTTCCACCTTAAATGGTGCAGCACTTCCATAGGCGCCCGTTGTAAAGGCGCCAGACTATAGAACGCAACCGCCAGCATTTAAGGTGGACCGGAAAATTCGACTGAGAAGCTGGCAAAAATGAAGCCTCGTGATTTTTTTTCTTACGTCTTCATCCTCGCACGCGTTTCTCTTGCGGTACTGCACCCTGATCCGGCCGTCCGTCGCAGGCTGGGGGGCTTTTCCTGCCTTCTCCTCTCCCTCGACCTGCCCTCCGAGAAGGTGGCTGGCTTCAGGTGGGTGCGGGAAAGATTTGCTCGTGTTGATCTTTCCGGTAAACCTCTGATAGAGCGAAGCCATAGGGTCCGGTTTAGAAGAACAACAAGAAGAAGAAGAAGAAGAAGAAAAAAAAGAAAAGCGCTACTGCATCTCAAAGGCAGAGAGGTCCTTCAGCCTTTCTGCCCAGTCCGTCGTCCAGCCAGATGCCCCCCTTTTCTTCTCGAGCAACTGGTTTCATTAGAAAGAGGAGCCGCCTGAAAGATGCATGAGGCGTTTCAGCACCTGGACAGTCAGCGCTGCTCCAAGTCTGCTCTACATTCAGAGCACGTTGTCCGGCTCTTCGCTCCGCGCGCTGGAGAGGCAGGAGAGGAGCGAGCGTCCGGCAGCGGGAAATGAAGGTGAGAATGGTCTCGAGCACGCGGAGAGGAGCAGAGGAAGAGGTCTCCTGTGGCGCGGGAGGAAGTCCTGGTCTTGGAAAGCTGGACTGGGACCAGATGCTGTCCGCGGCGACGCGCTCTGCATGAGAAGTGGCCAGTGAGGAGGAACCGGCTCCCCGGCTGGGCTCTCAGCAGCGCCGCAGCTCCATATGAACCCAGACCTTCAGTTCGTGGACCACTCGCCGCTCCTCAGACGCCTGTGAAAGTCCTCGCGCCTGAGGTGATGACCAGTCCGGTGTGCGCGGTCATATGCGCGCTGCACGCTCAGATTCGGCTATTTTACTTCTTAACGAAGGTCTGAATCCGTGGTAGACGGTGTTGCAGCGCCACCCAGCGGCGAACAACCGAACCGCAGTCCAGTGTGAGAGCAGGAGAAAACAAACGCGCAGGTTTGGAGAAAGTTTTGGGCACCCTGCTCTATCTAGAACCACGAGTTCCATACAGAACTGTCTGCGTGCTTAAATGGCTCTCTGGTTCTTCAGATTGATGGAGAATGTGTTCTGTATAGCACAAAAAAGGTTCCGCTATTGTTAGACGCTTGACATCATAACAATAGAAGAACCCTTTTTGTTGCTTTCAAAAAGGTTCCATATAGAACCATATACATCACGTTCTACATAGAATAATGAACACTCAAAGAACCCTTTGCATGACTGAAGGGTTCTTCAGATCGATGGAGAATGTGTTGTACATGGTTCTATATAATACTAGAAAGGGTTATGCTACTGTTACAAGCTTGACATTTTGGTGCTGTGTAGAACCAAATACAACACATTCTCCATCATTCTGAAGAAACGTTTCACCATGCACAATGCAGAACCATTTTAGCATGAACTCATGGTTCTAAATAGAACCATTGCTTTTACTAAAAAACTTCTGAAGAACCATCTTTAGAAACGGGTATCGGCACTGGCCCATTTATGCGTGAAAAATATTAGAATATCTATATAGCACCATAAAGGGTTCTATTATTATGATGCTATATAGAACCAAGGGGTGCAGCGATATAGGAATCGTGGGCTGACGCCGATATCCGATATGTTTCAGGCACGAATCAGACAATGCTACATAAAAAAGATGGGTTTCTTTAGTAAAGGCAGTGGTTCTGGTTAGAACCACGGGTTCCATGCAGAACAATGCTTGAATGGGTCTCTGCATGGTGTAATGGCTCTTCAGATGGAGAATGTGTTGCATATGGTTCTATATAGTATTATAACAATAGAACCCTTTTTGGTGCTATACAGAACGAAGGGATGCACCAATACAGGAACTGTGGGCTGATGCCGATATCTGATATTTAAAGATAAAAGCAATGGTTCTGTTTAGAAACACAAGTTCCATATAGAACCATAGAACCATCTGCAAGCTTAAATGGCTCTCTGTATGGTGAAATCGTAAAAATTGCAGAACACTTTTTGGTGCTATATAGAACCAAACACATTCTCCATCAGTCTGGACTCATGGTTCTAAACAGAACCATTGCTTTTACTAAAAACCTTCTGAAGAACCATCTTTAGAAACGAGTTTCAGCATCAGCTGATTTGTGCGTGAAAAATATCAGAATATCTATAAAGCAGCAAAAAGGGTTCTATTATTATGATGCTATACAGAACCAAGGGATGCAGCGATACAGGAACTGTGGGCTGATCCCGATATCCGATATTTTTCATGCACTAATCAGCCAGTACTAGTTAAGGCAGTGGTTCTATTCAGAACCATGAGTTCCACACAGAACCATTTGCATGCTTGAATGTATCTCTGCATGGTAAAATTGTTCTTCAGATTGATGGAGAATATGTTGTATATAGTTCTATATAGCATCACAACAACAGAACCCTTTTTGTTGCTATACAGAACCAAGGGATGCACCGATACGGGAATTGTGGGCTGATGCTGAAATCCGATATTTTTGATGCACGTATCAGCCAATACTGATACTCGCTTCTATGGTCCTTCAGAAGTTCTTTAGTAAAAGCAGTGGTTCTATTTAGACCCATGAGTTCTATACAGAACCATTTGCATGCTAAAATGTTTTTTCTGCAAGGAGAAATGTTTCATCAGATGGATGGAGAATGTGTTGCAAACAGTTCAGTTGCAAACAGAAGAACTCTTTTAAGTGCTATCTAGAACCACATAGAACGCATTCTCAGTCAATCTGAAGAATTTCACCATGCAGAGAACCATTTTGGAATGCAATGGTTCTATATAAGAGTTCATGGAAAAAGAAAAAGATGGTTCTTTAAGGGTTCTTTAGTGAAGGCAATGGATGTTTACGATGGTTATATCAATGTTATGTAGCAGGGTTCTAGTGTCTTCTGTGAAGCACTGTCAGCAGGGTTTTCATCACACCAATCTGATACCCGGGGCGTAGCTAGAACGTTCAGAGTGAGGTGGCCAAATAAGATCCAGAGATTTTACTGGGGTGGCACACTGGTAAGATATTAAAATGATATAAAAGTGATGTGTTTGTTTTTCCCTGTATATATAATTAAATCTGTCCATCATTTTCACACGAATGAAGCAGTATATCAGTACAGATACGGCCAAACGTAAACTGAAAGACGAAGTAAGGTATGAAATGATGATGTATTTTAGTCAGTAATGTGGAAATTGCGTGTTAGAATCAAGTAAATTAAAATTAATCCCCGTTTTCAGTGCAGAACATTCAGAAAAACACATTTCATACAGACAGACAGTAGAAGTTCCTCATTTAGGCTGCAGTTACTACAGTTTATACATCAATCTAGTGATTAGAAAGCTCAGCACTGTATAAGGGAACCTGCACACTTAAAAAGATGGTTTTCCAAGGGTTCCTTAGTAAAGAAAATGGTTCTATAGAATCAAGAACACTCAAAGAACCCTTTGCATGATGAAATGGTTCTTCAGATTGATGGCGAATGTGTTGTATATGGTCCTATATAGCACCAGAAAGGGTTCTGGTATTGTTACAAGCTTGACATCATAACAATAGAAGAACCCTTTTGGTGCTATAGGCTGTTTTACGTGGATAAAACAGTTGTTTTGGGTAAAATCGAGGTCACTAGAACATGCGATTGTATAATCTTCTGCTTTAGGGTCCTAATCTAACACAACCACACCTGTAGTAGTGCGAGAACCACTGATAGTTCACACCACATGGGGAGGGAAGAACATTGCTGGGGTCAGATTGACCCCAAAGGATAAAAGATGATAGTAAATTTGAAGATAACAGGCAGGCTGGACTCCTTACTGGACGTACACAGCACTATTGGGGTGTAAAAGCCTTTATTTCACCTATCTAGTGCACTATGTAGGGAGCAGGGAGCTGGGTGAGCTGTGGACTGTAGAAATGCCTCTTCAGATCTCTGAGCATGCACTGCGTGAAACCTTCTCTGTCAGGCTGTAATGCGTTCCTGCACAGTTCCAGCACCTGGACAGCTCCTTCACTGCTTCCTATGATGAGGAACATTGTCTTCATTTTGACATTAATCAGGCTGAATTTTGGTAAAATATGTAATAGCGATTTTTCTGAGAAACACTGAGACCTCATTTTTTTTTCTATAACTTCAGTAGGCTTTTTTTGACCAAGAAGACCAGAAGACTCTTTTTCTAGCTTGAAGTTTGCATGCTGAATGTACTATACATAAATTCTATACGTATAAATATAGTTTTAATGTAAATAAATATAGTTTAATGTACGCTCTTAAAAGTACAGGTACCACGGAGGGAAAAGAACCTCCCTAAAGAACCTTTGAATGGATGATTCTTTACAAAGCTCAGTCGACATGACTCTGTTGGAACATTCTTAAAGCTACACTAGGTTAGTTTTTGGGATTTGGAGACCTCTCTGGTGGAAATGTGTAATTGCAGGATTGAAAAACATTTTGTAGTGTGGGCTGTGCTTCGGGCCCTTCCTGAGCGGATGAATCTGATGATTGAATGAGAACTTCATTAGTATAATGTTGATTTTGAGATTATTCGAGACCTAAACATCAAGCCGAACCTCCATTTTTGAGCCTGTGCTTGTGACATCGATATGTAAAGACATACAACCTAACATGAATAATTCACAGTGCAAAAAGAAAATGAGTTATGAAATTCCATTCACGTTGATTGTTTTTGGACATTTGGCAAATGATATTACAATTATGCGTATTAACAATGACAACATAGATGTCCAGTTTTTCCATTACTATAGAATAATAATAGAATACATCAACAAATGCCCCTCAAAAAAACTGTCGGTCTAATAAAAAAGGGAAAAATAAGATAAGTAAATATATTACGGTACGTGATGAGACGAGAGGCAAAATGAAGTAAATAATACACTCTTAAGGGGTTCTTTAAGGCTTCTTTAATAAAGACAAGGGTTCTGTATAGAGCCATGAACACGCAAAGAACCTTTGCATGCTTAAATGGTTCCTTACATGGTGAAATTGTTCTTCAGATTGATGGATTCTATATAGAACCTTTTTGACATTGTAACAATAGAAGTACCCTTTTTGGTGCTATATAGAAGCCTTTTCAAAAAGCTTCTAGATAGAACTATAGACAACACATTCTCCATCAATCTGAAGAACAGTTTCACCATGTAAAGAAGCATTTAACCATCCAAAGGTTCTTTGCGTGTTCATGGTTCTATATTTTCGTAACACTTTCTATGAATGTCACCTTTGTAAGCATCTATAAACACAGTCATAACATGTTATAATGCATTCATAAGGCATTATAAACATAGCTATAAATATTTATAAAAATGCATTACACATTATAGCCATGTTTATTATGCATTATGAATTGTTAACATAATACATTATAAGTACTGATCATAACAAATTATAAGAGCTCATAAGTTGTATTTGTCCGCTCTAAGTAAAGTGAAGTGTACTGTACTAAAGCCTCCTCCAGTGTTCAGAGTGAGGCTTCAAGTTGAAGTATTTACTGAAGGATTTACTGAAACACTAAAACATACACAATAAAGCACATTACAGGCTTCAAATGTCAGAGTTTAAACTAGAGCTGCCATCAGTGTTTTACCCAATGTGGGAAAGGTAATGTACACCACCGTTAGCTTGGTATTTGTCTTTACTTTGCACTTTCCAAGCTGGGACTGACTTCTTTGGCACTGTTATAACATGTTATACTGTCAGTGTCAAAGAAGTCAGTCCCAGCTTGGAGAGCGTAAAGTAAAGACAAATACCAAGCTAACGGTGGTGTACATTACCTTT